GCAGTAATTACAGATTTTGTATGATTTTTTCCCTCATAGTTATTGCTTAGATCTCTCTCTCTCTCACATAATTCATAAATGTATCTTGGTTGTTGCCTGCATCCTTGAGGATTGCTGATTTTTTTTTTTTTTTTTCCACCTAAATTGTTGTTGGAAGTGGAACTATCCTGAAAACCTCTCCCAAACAGATTGAATTTTATAACGTAAGACTAACGACCCTACGTAACAGGAAAAAGTTGACAATATTGGTTAACGGTAGACTTGAGCTACAAATGATATAGGCTAGACATCGAAAGATGTGCCAACGAGGACGCTAGACACTCCATTGTTAGATCTCACATTAGATTTGAACCGTTACAAATGATATCAGAACTATATTAACCCCATAATATTGGATTGTGAGAAGTTGGAAAGCTAAAGATTACTCACCCTTATTAATTTTTCTTTAAAATATTGCAAAATAGTTTTTATAATGAAATTATTTAAATTTAAAGTTAAAGAGAATTGATAAAGTTTTTGGGGTAATTTTTTTTTTTTAATTCACCCAAAACCATATCACTTTCATGTTTTTATTTTTGAGTACACATTAGTGATTAGGGTAAAATTAGTGGGTAAATGTTGGCCCCTTGCTTTTCTGTCCACCATCTTTTGTCTTTGTTCCTTTGGGTGGGCCACAAGATAGACTAAGAAAGATTCCCTTCAAAGCTTGTAGTGAACTTTTTCTACCTTTTGTTTCCTTGCAAATCTTAAGTCAAAAAGTGCACAGATTACTTGTTTGTCTTCAACTTCAATCTTACCTACAAAATTTCCCATTACCATTTAAATGTCTTTACTTTATTTGTATCCATTGATTGGTGCACAATGTTGTCGTCACGTGTGGTATAGTTTAATTGGTTAAAATATTGTATCATCTATCTAAACAATCATGTATTTGAATTCTCTCTATTTGCAATAATAATGTCTAGTTTGATGGCCTTCAAACTAAAACTTATCTATTTTGTATCCTCATCTTTAATAATAATGTTGAGTATGAGGCCCCTCCTCACCCTTTGATTGAGGGATTTAATTGCATTTATAGTCTTTGTATTTTGGGTTTTTCTATAATACTTTGGCTCCACTATATTTCTAGCATTAAAAGCACCGAATAACACATAGAAATAATTAGGCAGGTTGGTTAAGATATATATTTTTGAATAAGCCAGGGGTATGCAAATCATATGGCTCCGGCGAGATTCCACATCAATTGGAGAGGGGAGCAAAATATTGCTTATAAGGGTATGAGAAATTTTCTCTAACAGGCACATTTAAAATCGTGAGGCTAACTAAGATACATAATGAGACAAAATAGACAATATCTTCTGGTGGTAGGTTTGAATAGTTACAAATGATATCAAGTCAAACACCACACGGTGGATTGTGAGATCCTATTGGAGAGGGGAGATGGGAACAAAACATTGCTGATAAAAGTGTCGGAATTGTCCCTAACAGACACACTTTAAAATCGTGAGAGTGACAAAGATACATAATGGACCAAAACAGACAATATTTGCTAGTGGTGGGTTTGTGCCGTTACAAATGGTATCAGAGTCAAACATCAAACGATAGGCCCCTAAGGAAGGTGGATTGTGATATTCCATTAGAGAGGGGAACGAAACGTTGCTTATAAGAGTATGAGAAACCTCTCCTTAACAGACATGTTTTAGAACCATAAGGTTGACGACGATACGTAATAAGTCAAAACAGATAATATCTATTAACAGAAAGCTTATACGGTTACGCTATAGTTGTTGTACTAAGAATATATTAATGGAACTTTGTTTGTTTTTTTTTAATGGCTATTTCGCAAGCAGCCCTTCAATCAAGCATAGAAATGGGGCAAAATCCAGTTGTCAAGCACACCCAATAGCCTTTTTGTACACATGGCTATAATTAGCTCTCATTAGTCCCACAGCTAATAAGCAATCCTTCTCCCATAAATTTCCTCGACTCCACTTTACCCCACAGACTCTTATCTCCATTCTCTCTTGAAGAAAGCCCTCCAATAACCCTTCCCCCCACAATCCCATCCACTTTGGCAATGGCAAATCTTGTGCCATTTTGGCTTCTTCTCTCAGCCCTTTTGGCACCATTTGCTAGTGGAGATTGGAACATTTTGAGGCCAAAAAAGAGCCATTTGGATTTGGGTGATAGCTTGAAAGTTTATTGTGAAAGTTGGAGGGTGAATGTTGAGCTAAACAATGTTAAAGGCTTTGAAGTTGTGCCTCAAGAATGCATTAGCCATATCAAGAAGTACATGACATCTTCCCAATACACTGCTGATTCTGAGAGGGCAATTGAAGAGGTCAAGCTTTATCTCAGCACTTGTTGCAACCTTGAAGGTGACGGCACTGATGCTTGGATCTTTGATGTTGATGATACCCTTTTGTCCAACATTCCTTTCTACAAGAAACACGGTTTCGGGTGAGTCACTTCGACAATGCCACTAATATTGCACGTTTGAAAGCTCTATAGAGTTGATGCCTAGAGTAATATATGATCGTGTTTGCTAACGTTTTTGTTTAAAAATTAAAAACTGGGTAGTAAGAAAAACTTCACTTGTAGCTTTTCTCGTGAAATTTATATATAATTTACGATAACATGTAAACAGAGGAGAGAAGTTGAATGAAACAGACATAGAAGAGTGGATGAGAAGCAGCAAGGCACCAGCTCTTGAGCATACATTGAAGCTCTTCAATCTTATAAGAGACAAAGGGATTAAAGTCTTTTTGATATCTTCAAGAGGGGAAGATCTTAGATCTCCAACGGTTGATAATCTCATCCAAGTTGGATTCCATGGATGGTCTGCTCTCACTTTGAGGTATCTCTCTTTTTCTCTCATATTGTAAGTTATGCTTTAAAAGAGAAACTTTTTCGAAAAGATGTTAGAATATTAAATGAACCGATATTAACTAAAATGAGTATAGTTCAATAATAATTAATATGTAGTTTTGTCGAGGTTAAAAAATTTGAATGAATTCAAATGTTGTTAAATTAAAAAAGATTAAATATTAGCATTTTTAAATTTTCAAAAAGAATTAAAAAAGAATTAAATTTTTAATTATGCCTCCAATAAAGATGTGAATATTAAAAAATATCAAATAATTTTGTAGATACAAAAGGAAATAAAAGTTAAAAGGTTAAAATGGTAATTTAACTATAATTTATTAAAATTTTTGGTGATGATGAACAGGGGTCTTGAAGATGAAGGAAAAGAAGTGCAAAAATACAAAATAAAAGCAAGGCAAAGGCTTGTTGATGAAGGCTACCACATTTGGGGCATTGTTGGTGACCAATGGAGCAGCTTTGAAGGCCTTCCCACTGCTGATAGAAGATTCAAACTCCCCAATTCCATGTACTACGTGGCCTAATCTCAATATTTATCTATTTTCATGTCTTATGTGACACATAAAATACTCTATATATTTTTATTTCTTTCTTTATATAATTTCATATTTTATATTTTTAAGCGAAAAAGACATATATATTTATATATATTAATTTAGTGTCTGGTAATATTTTTCAATATAAATAAATTTTCAATTTTGTATTTAATAAATTTGTGAGTTTTTTTTGGAAATTTAAACTGAGGCTACAACTAACATTCTGGGTTGGTGTTATATTATCAAATGGAAAACTGTGATGTGATAGAAAATATTGTATTGCAACATTATGGTGACACTTGGCTTTTAAAAGGATAATAAATAATTAAATTATTTAACACAATGAACTTTCATGAAGAACTTGAACAAATGGAATTTGGCAAAGGGAAACATCTTTATATTAAAAGAATCTGTCTCTTATTCTGCAAATTTTGATATATGGAATCTGCTTCATGTTCCAATTTCTTCACAATATCCTTCAACCTCAATTTTTTTTTTTTTAAATTAAAAATCAATTGTTCATAGTGGATGCTGATTCCATATGCCTTTTTTTTTTCCTCTCATTTTTTTTTAATTTAAATTATAATTGTTACCTCAAATTTAGGTTTTTGTTTTTATTTGCTTCAAAATATCTTGTTTTGATATTTAATTATTTTCTTTTCCAAAACTATCAAGTATCCATATTAATTATATTCTTTGTTTCCAAATTCATTGCTAAACTTGTCATAAAAGATTCTATTGAAGTGCATCATAAAAGTTTTATCATAAAAGTTTTGACTTAAAATTTGATGTAAAAAGTATGAGAATATCAATATCCATATTTGTTTGAAAAAATAATGAGAATATTAATATGAAAGATGGTATAATGGAATATTTTATTTTGTTCTTCACAAATTCATCTCCCATTTACGTTACCCGTCAAACATAATTTAATAGATAAAATAATTATTTTTACTTAAAAAATCGGTGGTTTAATTACTATTTGTATAAGTATTAAGCTCATAAAAAATATTATGTCATATTATTATTTCAAATAAAATTAGAAATTAATAGAACATTCCAATTTTAAATTTAAAATGGACTGTTTTTTAGAGATTCAAATCATTGACAAGTTGGGAGAATCAAATTGACTAATTAAAATTTAAAATTCATCTCAAATAGGAGTGAATATAATATTTTAATAGAATAATTATGGTAGTGAAAATTGTTTATTTTGTAATTAAATAATTATAATTAAAAAAAATTGAGGAATAAATTATAATTTAAAAAAGTGGGCATGCTCATTCGACAAAAACCTAAAAGAAAAAACCTTTTTTTTTTTTTTTCAACGAGTCGTATTGGCCACTGGGACAAAGAGCAGAAAAATGACAACATTGAGAATACTCCCACTCGCAGCCTATCAACTGTTTAATTCATTACTAATAAAAAACGTTCACTTGTACAAACCATTGGCCAAAACTGAACGTGTGGAAATTACGCGCCATTTTTGGCGCGTACAACAATTTAGCTCCGTACGTTTCAGAGTGCAATGACGACAAAGCGGAACCATCACGGCCGTCACCTCATCCGGCTTTCATCGGCTGTGCCGGTGACATATTTAAATCACCCGCCTGTGACCCAAGAGCTACATCCTCCGATTTCTCAGCGCCGTATCATTTGTGGTTTTTCGGATTCTATTCCGAGTCTTTTTCTTCGCGGGGTTCCTCTTTTTTTTTCTTTCTTCTACCTTCCAGACGCTTTCTATTCGGCTTTTGGGTAAGAATTTGCACGTTATCCATTCGATTAGTTAGGTTTATCACTTTTTTTTTTTTTTTTTGTGCGTGTGTGTGTGTAATCTTTTTTCCATTTGAGGTCGATTGTGAACTCGTTTTGGGATCCATCCACTTGGCTGCTTCAGAATTTGATGTTTTTCTATTGCGTAAGTTCAATTGTATGTTCTTCTCTCCGTTTCAACAATGTGTTGTTGAAGTCGGTTTCTCAGCTGCTATATAAACTGTATTTCTTGGAATAATTAGTCTCCAGGTTTTGATATTCAACTTGTTTACTTTGAAATTCTTGTTAATTTGGCTGGTCTGTGATGGTGCAGTTGAAGTTACAGAAATTGATTCGAAACATAAATTATGATCATAACAATTGCAAGTGCTTTGATGTAGCGTTTATATGATGTCAGCTGCTGGTAAAGATGATCACTTACAATTGCATCTATAGTTTTCGAGTTGGGTAGACGCTCAGAAAACGGAATTTTATGAGTATATTGGGAAGGGTTTTACGATTCATCTCCCCTCAGCCTGAATTATTGTTAAAAAAAGTTGTTTTTGCTTCTGTCAGTATCAAATTGTTAGGTTCTGGGAAATTAGCTCCAAATTCAATCATCTAAACTTTGGTGATTGATGGGTCTTGTGTCATCTTGCCGGTGAAATCTCTTTTTATTTGTGATAACATGTATATGCTTTAGTTCATTGAGAAGAAGCCTTTTCTTTTTCTTCCGAAATGTAATTTATTTTTCTCTGAAATTGTTTCTACTTTTGTCAAAATTGATGATTCCACCCCCTCCCCCCACTGTCCATTTCTAGATGTTGGACTTGGAGTAAGCTGTAACTACTGAAGGGACTTGGCGTAAGCTGTAAGTACTGAAGTAAATTAAGGACCAGTTATGTGCTACAATATGATGGATTGTCACGTGGTGCTTAAACTATTGCCGCAAATAGATGAAATTTGTTCCTTCCTTTGATTTAAGGATGAAAATTGAGGCGAGTCTTGTCTCATCCATTGCAAGTTCAAGTGCAAGGCAGCATAGTAGTGCAGGGGTAAATGAAGATATATCTAAACCATTAAGAGTCCTACTGCCTACTTGTTTGGAGGAGGTATATCCTAAGTTGCCAGATTCTCAACAGGTTTCAATGGAACGAGAACTGGTATCAAGGCCACTTGTTCATTCCAACCATTTACACTCTAGCAGTGGAGTAGTTGGCAATATATTTTCATCTTCTCCAGGGTTTTCAACAGATCTTCACTACTCATCCGTTTCGTTTTATGAAAACCAATCAGTTGCACCGTTCATTTCCGATTCATCAGCTAATGGTGCACTCTTACATTCTCATTCAGAACTCTTTTCATCAACCAACCATCCTACTGGTGAAAATGTCAATTCCTGGTGTACGGATGCACTGCCAGATTTTCTGGAAGCTCCTGAAAATAACCCTGTTGGCAATAGTCACGTAGAAAACAATAGTTGCAGCTCTCTTATGGTTTCAGATGAATTCAGTAAAGAAAATGATTGGCAGGATTGGACAGATAGAATAATAACTGATGATTCATTGACTTCTAATTGGAGTGACCTTCTAGTGGATGCCAATGTTGCAGATTTGGAACCAAAGGTTGGAGTTCTTTCACAATACTATGCATATTTTTGTCCATTTGACTGGCTTAATACTTCTAAGAGGGACTTATAATTGTTTTCGTCTTGTTGATTCCACAGATAGCGTACCAAGCATCTAAACCAGTGATAAAAATGCAAGTGCAGCAGTCTCAAATTCAAAATCAGCTTCCTTCTTCTGGGGAAATTTCTATGATTGCTACCTCAACTCCCTCTTCAAATGGAGCTCCCTCCAAGCCACGAATGCGATGGACACCAGAACTTCATGATGCATTTGTAGAGGCTGTAAACAAACTTGGTGGCAGTGAAAGTGTGTATTGCCCGCCTGCTTCACGTCCTGTCTTGATAATGGTTATTATATCTAAATGGCTTTACTATTTCATCTGTCAGGAGCTACTCCAAAAGGTGTTCTAAAGCTTATGCAAGTGGAGGGTTTGACAATCTATCATGTGAAGAGCCACTTGCAGGTATATTTACTTCTACATGAACGAGTTATAATGAAAAAAAAAAAAAAAAAAAAAAGATTCAGACATCAGTAGTCTACATGAGCCCACCCGTTCTGCACTGTGTGCATATGTCCAAACATTTTTTGGGTAATAAGCAACTATTCATGTCTGAACATTCCTGTATTCGATACTTATAATTGGCTATATGGCTTCTTGCTTGCAGAAATATAGGACGGCTAGATACCAACCAGAATCATCAAAAGGTATAGAAAATACTTATGATATCTGACTTACGTTCTGCACTTTGTAATGCATGCAAAGTTTTACCCCTGTATTTAAGTTCAATAGTTAGATCAAGATGATGCATATGATTTGATTTTGTTTGATACTCTGGATTTAAAAATTTAATGAATTTTCACTGCAGGGTCAATGGAGAAAAGCACCACCTCGCTTGAGGATATTTCATCACTCGATTTGAAAACGTTAGTCAATTTTTTGGGTTTTGTTTTTGGAAAATTTAAGTGTATGCAGTTTTATATGTTCAAGCATGGTTTAAAGGCTGGTGGCATCATCAGTTTGAGATTCTAGGCATTTGTAGTTGGACTTGTTTGTTCAAGATGACTGAGATTTCTAGGCATATTTGATTGGACTTATTTACTCATTTATTGCTTTATTAGCTCATTCATGATGGCTGTGATGTCTAGGCATATTTTGTTGACTTGTCTATGCATTTCTTGCTTTATGAGTTCATTCAAGAGGGTTGAGATTTCTAGGCATTTTCAGTTGGACTTTTTTATTCCGTTCTTCTTTGGTTTTTTTTTCCAATTATTCACCTTCTCTCAGAATGCCAAAAAGGATCAATATTCCCCTTAAACTATTTGTTAAACTAGCGGATTTACTGTTCACATGGGAATACTTTTAGGGGACATTTGTTTAGGAATTATTTTACTGGGGTCCTCCATGTTTTCGTTCTTCTTGTGAACAACCAGTTTTTCCCAAGTATAAGATAGGTTTCCTAGTATTGATCTGGCTTTGCATAACAGGAGTATTGATATCACAGAGGCTCTACGTCTGCAGATGGAAGTTCAGAAAAAGTTACATGAGCAACTCGAGGTATGTATTTGTTACTTTGAACAGATTCTGCTGATCGAGTTAAATCCTCTCCTTGAAAGCGTGCCCCAAGGATTGGCATAGTGATAATTCTGATAAACTACCTTGAATTTAGCCACAAGAACTCACATGTTCGTTATAACCTTTTATTGATGATGTTAAAATGCCCTTTTGTTTTACCCCGTTCTACAGTTATGAAGTATGATGGGAAGGTCATGGGACTTCCGGTTATGAAAGAAAATATCAACAAATTCTAAGAGAGATGCTTTAATTTAGATAGCAGAAATTGCTAGTTGGAGCCTCTCCTTTATGATAATTTGCTTTAGGCAATCATGGAATTCGATCCCAACGAAACATTCCTTGTAAGGGTGTGAAAATCTCTCCCTAACATACGCGTTTTAGAAATCTTGAACGGAAGCCCGAAGGGGAAAGCTCAAAGAGGACAATATTTGCTAGTGGAGGGCTTGGGCCATTACAAATTATAAGTGAGATGGTTTAATTTTGATAGCAAAAATTGCTTGTTGGAGCCTCCCCTCTATGATAATTTGCTTTAGGCAATCATAGAATACTCCTATGCTTCATAAACTGTGAAAGAATAGTATATTTTTGTTCTTTTGATGGTCTGGTAATAATGTGGATAACACACAAGTGCCTGGATTGGTGAACTGGTTAGTGTCCTTCATCAGACCAGTCTATATTTGATGAATTCTGGTAGATGGTGTGTGTGTGTGTGTGTGTTTGTGGTCTGATTTCATGTGATCATAACGCATTAGTCCCACATTTTTACGACGCCCCATCCCTCCATTTGGTGTTTAACGATTGTGAGGTAATTCCTTTCTTGTTCGCTGTTTGACAGATCCAACGAAATTTACAGTTAAGAATAGAAGAACAAGGGAAGTACCTTCAAATGATGTTTGAAAAACAATTCAAGTCAGGCAATAACCTGAAAGCATCCACATTGGATGAGTCTCCATTTTCAGATACTGTTGATGATTTCTCTGCCAAAACAGAGCTGGAAACTTCCCAGGTGGAAATTTGCACAGCCCGCACTGATCCATCTGAAGCTGACACAATATCCGAAAATGTTACTAACGAAGAAGGCGGGAAGCCAGAAGCACGGCATAGAAAAGTCCCCGAAAATACCGAGCCAGACGCTTCAAAATCTAGCTCCCAGCTATCAAAACGCCAAAGGACAGAGAATTAGGCTGTGCTGTTTCAGGTCTGTCTTCTTTTGTATTGTCCAAAGTCATTACTGAATCTTGAAAATGCCAGTGTAGGTTGCGGGAAAGGGTAGGTACCTGGTTTTGGCTTTGAGTATCACTTAGGCATATTAGATATAAATGGTCTCACATTCTAGTTTATTAGCAAAGACTGAAATCCAAGTTTTGGTTACATCATTCTCTTGTACACAGAGATTGTACACTCAGTAGCAACTTTAGTGCTGAGTTGATTTCAATATGCAACAGCAAGGGTTCTCTGTTAGAAATTGCTGTCAACATTTGTGTAATTCAAAAAAAAAAAAAAAAAAAAAAAAAAAAAAAAAAAAAAAAAAAAAAAAAAAAAAA